GTGGGAAGGAGAGGCGCTGGAAAAACGCTGCACGACTGGGTGGGACGCACGTGGGTTGGCTGACACAACGTTCAAGAGAATTACAAAGCGAAGCTGGGTGGAGATAAGAAAGAAAGAAAGTGAGAGGGCGGGGGGGAAGTGGGAGAGACAGAGCATGAAATAGAAAGAGCAGGTGAAAGGAAGTGCGGCAGACTAACTGGGAAGAGAGCCGTGAAGGTGCTGTAGATGAAACACGGCAGGGTGATCGGGGTGGAAAGTCTGTGTGTTTGTTTGCTTAGGGCTTGTCAACAGAAGCAGCAGAACTGGCACCGCAGAGTAAATTTAGAAAAGTGTGTTTCTGTGTTTACGCCCAAGCAGGGGCTTTTAACCGAGTCAAGATACTTTGTTGGTGGTGTCAGGGGAGCTAGTCTGCACAGCGCTGGGGGAGAACGATCACGAGAAGCCTTTGTTCACCGTCTGGTTGCAACAGTGGAACATCCGTGAGGCATCATTAGTCCGAGGCTGCTGTACAGTGAGCCAAGAGGGGCAGAAACGTGGACTTGACATGAAGGCTAAAGGGCTCTTTTCCGTGGACACAAGGCAGAGAAAACAAAACCACTGCCTCGGAGGTTTGGTTTCTCTTCTGACCAAGCTCTGATCTGCTTGCCTCTACAAAGGAAACATCAAAACATGGGAGAAATGAGGTGATACACCAACAGCTTGTTGACACCAACTAGGAGAGCTTTACCCGCTATATGTCAATTCCATCCTGGCCACTTTGATTCAGGAGTCATAAAAGAGTTCACTTGGGGCAAAGAAGATCAGGAACGAGGCAAAACACAACAGCCGAAGAGGGAGAACGCCAGAAAGCAACAGTGTCGGCTTGTTGTTTCCAACTCCCCTAGCACCTAGAGGTTCCCTCCAGCACATTCTCTCACTGAAATATTAATCGTGTTTGACAGCTGTTTTAGCAATGAAAACAAACACAGGACCGGAACTGGATCAGTCAAACACAGACTGGCTCAGATAGGATACTGGGCTCGAGACAGGGCCATGTGGAGGCAGCCTCATTATAAATGTGCTGTTTACTACTGTGACAGTTCTGTATGTCAACTGTCAGGGGTAGCAATGTTATGTACTAAGTGGAATAGTATATCGTTTTAAATGTACATTCAGATATCAGCGGGTCAAAGTGTGAAGGAGCCTCACATGTGGCTGCTCTTCCAGGTGACTCAACTATACCCACATCCCTGCGACTCCAACGCACTTAACAAGGCGGTATAACGATGAGTGGTTCACACACACACACACACACACACACACACACACACACACACACACACACACACACACACACACACACACACACACACACACACCTCCAGCACGGCAGAGGCAATTTGCAGCATTAAGCCGCCTGATAGCTCATGTCCACTGAGAGTTAGGGAGTGATTTAACGGACATTGCTCACACCAATTAGAAGGAATCAGCCAGGCAACGTTACCGACGACAAGTGGATGCCGGCACTGTCAACACACAGCCACACACATGCGCTCCCACACGCTGCGGAAAAGGGGGTATTTCACTGCTTCTTTTGTGATTAAGAGCATGAAAATAGCCCATTTAGATAATCCCTCCCTGTCAGCGCTGTCAGCCTGAGAGACACCGACACATCCCATGCACTCGTTCCCTCATTACCATACGCCAGTCATTCCAAGAGGGACCGAGTACAAAGCCCCGAAGAATGAGCTGAACAGATCGGCCACCTGCTTCCTTTTTTTTTCGTGAGCAGCTCCTTGTGTCTTTGCCGGCCAAGACTGGAGCGACATGACACAGTACAACTGCCACAAAAGGGAGAGCCGAGGAGCCGAGCCGCACCGGGCGACACGAGGGTGCACAAAAGGATTTCTATTTGCCCGCCCATGGGAGGGGTTTGGCCCTGGAGAGCACCTGATTCATTTCTTCTTGAGAGCTATTAATCTTTTCAAGCACCAGAATCACTTTGCCTTTCAGGAGCGGGAGAGGAGATTGAGTTTTTCTATTACAATCAACCAGAGGCAGTGTGTCTCAGGGAGAGGGGGCAGAGACCACACTGTCCTTGCTGCTGACTTTCCCCGGTCGAAACAAAAACAAAGGAAGGGAATGCTTTATCACATTAGTGAGATCATTTTTTTCATTTGGAAACACAAGTTGGGCACTGCAAGGTCAAAGCACATGTTCGGCCAAACGGTGCACTAAATCTTCAGACATTAAACCAGAATTGTTTTAAATGTGTTAGTTCATATGGTGGAATTTGTCTTCTCATACAACAGATTTGTTTAACCTCATATGTAGCCTTCTTCCAGCTTTGCATTCCTGAACAGAATAGCTTTTTGTCCACAGGATGTATTTTAAGTTTATCATATACGTTGGAAGATAAAGTTTAAAACTATGCCGGAAAAGATTGTAAGTGGACACTTGGTGTTTTCTTTACCTTATAACTGAGCGTAAGAAGGAAAGGTCAATACCACTCTGGTCCCGTTATGAAGTCAGGAGACGAACAGCGTAACTTAGCAATAAGGCTAAAAACAAGGAAAAGTATAGCCTGACTCTTTACGACGTTACTGCCTACTAAAACCACAGCAATCTGGTAACCGACTGGCTATCATTCTGAAATAAATAATCTTCTGTGTGTGTGACTTTGTCTAGAGTAAGCTAATCATTCTTACTGTCCGATAAGCAACTTGAACATTATAATTGAATTGGAGTTGAGAGACGACTTCTGCGACCTGGTGTTTTCACAAGTAACCAGTTTACAAGTTAATAAAAAGCGAACAATTGGTCACAAGACAGTCGATTGTTTCCAAGATTGCATGTCGTTGAATGCATTTCCCGCCTCTTTTACTCTCTACAAAGGGACTGCATTAAAACATAACCATGTTAAACCTATAGCCTATGGTCAATTTTACCTTGTTACGTTCCCTTTTAGATCCAGGGGCACAAAGGGAAGTAACAACACGAAAAAATAACCGGCCGAGAGAAAAAGGAGAGGAAACTGATCTCTGAAGACATAAGCAGGTCTTTTAATTAACAAAAAGAAAAAGGGCTCCCCAGCCAACTTGCAAAACAAATCTAGATACAAAAATATATACTGGAGACATGGACACCACACTGCACACATCCAGCCAGGGGAGAAGGAGAGAGCGACTGCAACCCTCCTCATGTCCTATATGGAGGCCNTGATTGGAGATTGGGAGCACCTGGGGAGAGGCTGCACCTGAGGACAATCAGAGGGAGAGAGAGAAAAACACACACACACACACCCACACAAACACTACGGCACGTAGCATACCTAGACTACAAACGGGATTCAGACTATTCACTTACTTATTTTGCCTGACTCTTTCTTGGCTGGGTGCTGCAGTGCATTCCTTGAATATAATTAATATAGCTCTCAGCAAGAATGTGAACAAGCTTAGAATAAAACATTTTCAACTATTCCAAAAATATTAATTTTCCGTCAAACTTATTTTCCAAGGCCAAGAACACGCATGGTTCCTATTTTGTATTCTCAAAAAAGCCTCTCAAGAATTTTCAATAAATATATTCTGCTGGTGGCGGGAGAGGATTCGGCCTTGACCTGTCCCCTAGACTTTTACTAGCTCATTCTGCCGGTAGCCATCAAGTATGAAGATAAGTATGTGGACAATGCAGGAAAAAGCTAATACATCAGCTTTAGTACCCTTTTCTTATTTGACATTTGCAGTTGCTAATGGGATAATTACCTCAGTGGCCAACATAAGTCCTGAACACATTACTCCACATTCTTAGACCTTTGGGGGTCAAAGGGCACACTCACTACATGGGTAAGGGGCTGATTTATCAAATCTAAGTGAAAATAGAGCATGGGCATCACATTTATTACAGTCTTGTATAATTTATCAGCCACATTCATTAAACCTTTCTCATGAAAAATGTCTGTTGGTGAGTGGTATTAATCGCAGAAGAAGCAAGTGAAGTGCAGAGCTCGGCGGCGGATCCCCGGTCAGGCTCCGAGACGCCTGCACTAATGGCGGAATATGGAGGCCACTTTAAAATGAAAAACGGCATCGGAGCCCGGTGTCACTTAATCAATGTTAAACCTCGGCGGGGCCAGGGGAGCGCCGCCTGCGGGGGCCGCGCAGTCCCCGAACTCATGTCCCCAGAACGAAGGGGGGTTTAAACGGGCCGCCTGTCGCGATGTAACTCATCTCCGTCACAGCGATGATGGCGCTCGCTCCCAAGGGGGTGTTGCTGGGAGGTTGTGTCTTCTTGGGAGGGGTTTAACAACACCATCCATCTCGCTAACACAATATTTGAGACACCGCCTACCTAAAGGAGCCATCATCACCGCCGGCTCGCCTTCATTCATGTGGGATAACATTTGCCTTGAAAATGCCCGTGGCAACACTGTGGCTGCGCTCCATCAATCACTCTCCAAGTCAGTTAGGATCATAAAGCCGGACAGATTTGGCTAATTTCTGGATCTCTTTATGCCCCCTCAATAACAGAAACCACACCGGAGACACCAAATGAAAATCTATTTTATTGCAGGGTAAGTGGATTTGGCTTCTGTTGCAGATGTATGCGGACGTCTTCACGGCTGAGCTGGCCAGAGTGTCAGTGAGTCTCTCCGGCCCTCGGCTCCTCCATCTCTCGCTCTGCCTCGGGCCCAGGGGTGCTCTTATCTCTCAAACAAACGGCTCCCGTGCGGCAGCCTCCGCTCGCAGCTCTCATCTATCTGCCTGACATGTGCTTCCTTGTTTGTTTTCTCTCGCCTGCTAGACACGGCTGATGATATTGAGCCGCGTTGACGGCGCTCCTCCATTCATGCCCGATGAATCAATCACCCGACAGTCTTTTCCACTTCAATAAATTCTTTAGGAAGCAGGTTAGTACTTTTCCTTCCATTCATTAACAAAAGAAAAGCCCACTTAAAGCAGCTCTGCCAGCCACTTTGGCAGGGAGATCCGCAACAATGAAGGATCGTCAGCTTCCTGGAATGATATTTGTTTGGTTTATTGGAGGCAAATATAGATAGACTGCATTTGTTGATATGAGTATGGAAATGTACATTCGTAGCAGAAGTTTTACACTTGTAGCAGAGGTCTAGTTCACAAACTCTGTTGAATTAGTTTACATAATTACATTTAGAAAAACACAGTATGCAAGACTAAATCCATTTGTACAGCATGTAGCATAGACATAGGGCAGCAGTAGCAAGAGTGTTACATAACTCAAGGCTAGGGTTGCAACTTGCTATTATAGATTTTTTGTTTGATGTGTAGAATATCAGAAAATAGTGAAAAATGTCCATTGCAAGAGGAGATCTTCAAATGTCTTGTTTTGTCAGTCCAAAACTCAAATGTATTCCCTTTATTATGATATAAAACAGAAAAGCAGGAAACCTCCATATCTAAGAGGCTGAAAACAGCTTTTACTTCCTTTTTCAATGTGATCAAATACTTGAAAGAACAATCTATTACCAAAATAAATGCCCTTTTCTTTCAATTAACTCACCGGTTGCGGATTTACATATAGCAGAAGAAAAAGAAGACTGCCTCTAATTCCTTTAATGAAATGAGACCTCAAAGCATACACTTGCTCATTAAAAAATCATTATGAAAAAAAGGATTTTAATGAGCTCATAAACTCAGAGGAAACTATTCTTTATAGATATTAAGGTCCTCTAAACGAGCTCTAAAGATCAGAAATGAAATCATTAAAAAAAACGTTTCTTACAACAAGCCATCAGTTCAAAAAGCGTCTCTCAGGTGACTCGTGCACTCAGTCCCTCAGTGAGGTCCTCCTGAGCGTGGACGATGAGCAGAGGGTTCCTGCGAGGACTCGGCTCTAACAAAATCCCGCTGCTGCTGTTCCTCGCAGATGTTGCTTCTGTTTTCGTTGCGCCGCCGTCGTTCGCCCGTGAACTCGTTCTCTCCTCCGCTGTGGAGTCCTCGGAGATGTTCAGCTCCTCTGTCACCCGTTCCCCCAGCTCCTGGATCAGCTGTCTGGATCCTTCTGAGGCGGAGGGGAGGGCGTTCACCTTGTCCTCCGCTGAGAGAAGTGTGCTCTGCTGGGGGAGGGGAGAGGCAGCTGGGGTGTGTTGGGACTGTGGAGGGTTGTCCTTAGACATCTCCCCTCCCTCTCCTTCCCCCTCAGATTCCTCGCTCTCATCCGAGGAGTCGCTGCTACTGCTGCTGCTGCTGCTGCTGCTGCTGTCACTGGACGAGCTGCTGCTGTCACTGTGGGACTCTTCCTCAGCCACCATCTTGGCCGCCTCCTCCAGCTCCTCCAGTTCCAGCTCCAAGTCTTTTTTCTGCAGGGAAGCTTTTTGCAACGTGGCGGCCAACGCTGACATCTTCTTGGACCTGTGGAGATAAAAGAGTGGGAAAGAAGGAGAAGTTAGAAAAGGGGAAAAAAAGTGACATCAAACTACGACTTCATCAGGGAGAGAGGCTGACTGATGGACTGGGCTCTGCGTATTGAAGACATAGCCACGGGATAACCATCTACAAATCTAATACCCATTAACCATATCCCATTCTCATCTGAATGCTAAGTAGAACGCGATTTGCCGAGGCGCGGGGGGCGCTCAATGAAATATGGAAATATGGATGTTTAATAATGTAGGCAGATGAGCTGCGCTGATACGCGGGGCTCTTCCCCTCCCCCACTGCTGCTCTCCCTGCGAGAGGTGATAAGAGACTGAGAGGGATTACAGAGAGAGGCAGGGCTCTCCCCCTCCCCCTCGGCCAGAACATGCAAATGTGCACACTTTCCCCTCTCGCATTATGAGAGGCTAAGCCAACAGTTTGAGGCAGCGGTAAGCAGAGGAACCTTTCACACCAGACAAGATGGGATTTTTTTTAATGATTTCACGAGCAGCCAACAATTCCTGAGGATATAATGGATGCCAGAGAGAGAAATATATTATTTTAGTGTGATTTTAAATTGGATAGTTTACTCAACCATCCGGCTGTTTTCCACTAATTATCCAAAGCGACTTAGAAACTCAATACTTTGGGCAATCCCCACAGGAGCAATTTGGGGTGAAGTGTCTCAGGGACACAACGACATGCTGACTGTAGAGGGTTTGAACCTGTGACCGTCTGATCCCCAGACCAAGGCTCTATCCACTGCGCCACACTCCCTAGTAGTTTACGAACTAAGCAACGTCAGGTAGCTGTCAGTGAATATCTGTCACTTATTCAGTCCATTTTTCCCACTTTCAAACCACCGATGGTGATTATTGGAAAAAGTCTTTTTTAGGGTTTTATTTCTACGAGCTTTCTGCTGGAGATTTGAGGAGAGTATAATAATTTTACACTTTAATACGAAATCTATACTCACTTCTCACACGTCTCCATAAAATGGGCAGAATAGTGGCGTAACCACCTTGACGTCATGTTTCTATCCCTGCTGATCAAGTAGGGTTGAAGGGTTTGTCACCTTTCACACTGAAGCCAGACATTAGTGAGGTGTTCTGTCCATTAGCAAATGTTCCCTATAGATCGAACACAAGAACATTTAGAGAATAAATCCAGTAGAATGGAAGCAGGTTCCCCCAAATGGCCCGGCAGCTCTGCAGAAAGCCGGACTGCAGAACAGTCAATAAAAGTCTGGACACAGAGTGCTCCTGAGCTGCAGCCTCACAGCTCAATGTCTCCGTCCCGTAGCCCCAGTTTTATCACCGGGGAAGACACAACACAACTCCTTGAAGAGTGAGGGCGGTGTTTTATTGCTGATGAGTGTCCTCCCACAAGGCCCCTTTTGCGTAAAGCCATCTGATTGTTCGGAGGCCCCCGCCTGCACATTATTCACACTGGGATGCCTGCCTTGCTGCCAAAAACTTAAGTGGTTGCTATTCGTCCCCCGGTGCGTTTAGGGCGTGTGTGCTTCCCCCTATTGCCATGGTGATTACAAGGTGACCTCTGCGGGTCACTGCGACTCAGACCATTCAGGGTGGGATAAAGTGTGTGTGTGTGTGTTGAGGGGCTTTTTCACACTGGGCTCCCGGTGCCCTCTCTGGCCCAATTAACCCGCTGCCGAGCTCCAGGATGGCTCCTCATTACCGTGCAGTCCTAATGAGCTCCCTATTCTGGAGAGTAAAGTGTTTATGGGAGCAGCGTGTAGGGGCTGTGTATTCATTTAAGACCTCAGGAGGGACTGTGTAAACATATCTTATAGTTCTAGCACATTCTCCTCTGTGCACACAGAAAGGAATAAGCTGGGGATGTGGGAAAGCAGGGAGATGCCCTTTCTCACATGCACCTTAATACATGAGAAATGTTTTGGCAGTTTTCTGTCACAATGTGGCAGAATTTGGAAACAGTAGCCAAAGTCGATTTTCCTGCTAAGATTCTCGGGCTGCGTGCCAAGCTCAGAGTGTAGAAACATTCCCGTGGTTTCAGTCGTGGAGCTGTGAGTTTGGCTCAAATACACATTCTCAAGCTACAAAATCTGTAAATCCTAAGAAATAAAAAACCCCCCAAGAAACTGTGAAGAATGTACTTTGTGAAGAGGAATGTGATTGTGTCGTGCATTAAAAGGGTAAATATGCTAAAAATCCATATTACCATATTTACCCTTTAATGCATTCTATTGATCCTTCAAACATGTGGTGTAGCATATTCCTCTTAGCCGTAGAGCTCTTATTAAAACACATGGATGAGTTAGGGGACATTATTTATATATTTTGACATGCTTTTTAAGATATATCTTCAGTAGGAACAAATGGGCTCGAGGCTGAGTTACACACAGCGTAGGGGGGCAATCATTGACATTAAGATAAAATAATTGCTGCCTTGATAACTTTAAGGAATTGTAAAATCCTGTCTCACAGTATAATAAATGGCTGTGCAATGATTTAGCATCTGAACAGTCTTCAGACTCTTGGCTCTAACATTGGACACTGTGGATAGTATTTCATGTTCTCTGTTACTTGAAGCTACTCTCCTCCACCAATGCAGTAACTCATTGTGTCAGCATTAAGCTGTGCTTTGGGGGTGAGCACTACAGTCAGGAAGCAGGTGTAGTTGACCATTTTCAACAACATGCATTTTTGTTAGCATTTGCTAATTAACACTAAAGACTAACTGAGGCTACTGGGAATGATATGAGTTACCTCTGCCAAGGAGAAATGTTTTTAGGCTTGTTTTCCATCTCGATTGGTGGAAGGGCGTAGCATGGGTAGTGAAATAACCCAGTACATTTTAGATATGAATTATGGGGCTAGTACTAGGGCTGCTTGATTATGGCAAAAATCATAATCTCGATTATTTGGGTCAATAATTGTAATTGCGATTATTAAATGCGATTATTCATTGACTTTGAAAACATCCATTTATTGGAGAAAAGAATGTGAACAGTATGTTTTTAGCAGTTGATTACCCTGAACTTTAAGTATAATTCAACTGAAAAAGCAAAACAAAAAGAAAATAATAAAAAAATAATAGTTTTATTTCTATTACGTTGTTTTCGTAATCGTTGCAAGCCATAATCGTAATCGCAATAAAAATAGGATTAATTGAGCAGCCCTAGCTAGTACACCATTTTATAACATAGTGAGATGAGGCCAAGGTGCACGTGTCACTCTCTGAATGCTCTTATAGTTTTCCAGGTATTTGGCTATAAACCAATTTAATGTGAAACTTTGACCTGATGACTCGGCTTGCAGTCACAAGTTATTCCCATTTATCCTGCTGGGATCATCCAATAGCTGCAAAGACATTTAGTTTAAAACCTTAAACCTGAAGTTCATGATGGGGTTAAAAGGAAAAGTCTTTGGACCAACAAAGTGGCTATGCTACATTCTCTGCGTAACGTAACGTGAATGTCTGCACCAAATGTCAAAGCAATGCATGCAATAGCTGTCGAGATGTTTCAGTCTAAACCAAAGTGGTGGACTGACTAACCAACATTGCCAGTCTTGACCATGGAAATAAGTCAACACAAGTTGTGTGAAAATGTAAACAACAGAAACCGCTGCATTCTTTGTGTAACTGAGTCCTGCGATTTTGTGGTCTCCACGTGCGAAGGCCATGCAAGATTGACACAACTAGAGCCTTGCAAAGCATTTTTCAACAATGACAAATGGCTTTTTCCGGCAGTGATTACAGGTATCCAGACATTAACCTGAACTAATGATGATGAGTGTGTGCGGGCTGCTGCATGGAGCCAGTTTAGGGCCCAGGCTCTATAAAAGCCACGTGAGCACTTCCTGTAGCGAGGCTCGAGCAGAAGAGCCCCCTGCAGCACAGCCACTTCAAAGACTGGCCTGTATTCTCTTTCCCCCGTGGGAAGTCATTATTGAGTTAGCATTGGGGAGGCGGGCTTGTTTTCTCTCCCCTCCCTCGCTCTGTGGTTGAAGAAGCTCGGCCTGCGGTTAATACAAAGGCTCTGTCCTGGAGGGGGAGGGATAAGGTTGTACACAATCCAGTCATTACTACAGCGCTGTTGTGGCTTGCCTTCATTAAAACCCAGGAGGGGTGGGTTTTTTCTCAAGGTTGGAAAAACTTCTGGCAAGACAAAGACGCCTCCATCTGCCAAAGTCTCCAGATGAGAATAGGATGTGTGTATGTGTGTGAAAGAGGCGAGCTAAATTACAATCTGACATTTCTTTCATCGGTCTCATTGAAAGAGCAAGTCTTTCAGCACGCCTGTGCTCGTGAAAACGTCTCAGATAAAGCTTGTCTTCAGATGTATAAATCTATGTAATATGAGCAGCAGATCTCCTCGCTGTAACTCACAGAATGCACCATTCACTGGCTGAGGGATAAAAGCCGACGCGGGGAGATGTGATCCGTCACTGTGACTGAACGCTGGGAGGTTCTGAGGCATTGGATGCCACTTTGATTCAAGAAATGAGAAAAACAGATGTATTTATTCAACACGCCAATGTTTGAGTTGGAGCTGCCTATGAAAGATTAGTGTACTGTACACACACTGATACACCATAAATATCTGTTGACTGTCAACTGTGACATGAAGGAGTATTTGGGATGTCTTTACAACCTGGGTCTTTTTGTTGTAGCTTTGAATGTCAGTCCTATCAGGTATGATAACCGTTAACTTACGGCAGTGGGGTTTCATGAGAGACATTAAAAGGTGTCTGTAAATGTGCATTGGAGTTTTCAGACTTTAAGTATTGCTTACTGTACTCACAGTGGGGCTGCTCAATTAATCGCGATTACGATCATGGCTTGCAACGATTACGAAAACAACGTAATCGAAATAAAACGATTTTTTTTTTTTTTATTATGACGAATTTTTTTTTTTTTGGTTTTTCAGTTGAATTATACTTAAAGTTCAGGATAATCAACTGTTAAAAACATAATGTTAAAAAAAAAAAAACTATAATAAATAGATG